TGCCACGCAGAACCCCTTTCTTTCTTTCTCTTTGCATCCTGGAGACATCAGGGCTGAAAAGAACTCGTGCAAGTCTTCCATCAGCATCCAGCGAGAAGGGGCTGGTGCTCCCACTTCTCCACCCTTGGACAAGGACCAGACTACAGACCCCAGGTTCAGAATCCCGGGGGTCTCGTCCATCTGAGAGAGACTGGAGGCATGGTCCAAATGGAAAGAGACATGAGGCATCGTCTAGCCCTAGCTCAGGCCTCTCAATATACAGATGTCGATCGCCGCCCTGAACTCTTCATTTTTCAGCAACACCCCCTCTCCCCATCAACCTGACGCACAGGCTCCTCATCAGGGGAACCACGTTCAAGTGTGCAGCCGTTAAGAGGCGAACTCAGAGCGCCCGGGTAGGTGTGTCGTGTGTGGCCTCGGGCCGGAGAGACCAAGTCCTCCACCCCTCGGGCCGGGGCCCACACTCACTTGGCCCCCGAGGCCTCAAACAGGTCGGCCCACTGCTCCGGGCGGAAGAAGCGCGCGGTGAACTGCGGCCCGAAGTCCGCGTAGGAGAAGCCGGGCGGGTAGTACCGGCGCATGAACTGCTCGTAGCCGGCCTGCGGCTGGCCCTTCCAGTGCCACCAGAACCACTCGCTGCCCCACGCCGGCACCGAGAACACGCCCCAGTGCACGAACACCCCGAACTTGGCTTCATCGAACCAGCTCGGCAGGGGCCGGGTGTCCAGGCTCACCCAGTCAGCGGTGTACCGGCGCGGAGTTGCAAGGGTCGACTTGACCGAGACCACCACCGGCACCAGCCCGGTGACCACCAGACACAACCAGCATTTCGGCTCCCGCATCGCTGCTTCCGCGTCTGCACGATCTCCTCCTACTGCGCAGGCGCGGGCGAGGGAGCCCCAGCCAACCCGACTGACGATTGGCTCAGAAGTTAATAAAGAAAATTAGGGGGTCGGGTCAGAGCGGGCCAATCCGGTCGAGCTCTGTTAACTCCATCGCCCTCTGGCGTTCAAATGGAGAAATTGCAAGGAAGGCGTTGACCGCGCTGTGCTTTTAGTGGCTGGGAGACTGAAAGAGTCCCGCCCCCCACCCCTCCCCAAGGATTTAACTGTGAGGTTAAATCGCGAAGTCCTCAAGTATGCAGAGAACCCGGACTAGTTCTCTCTGCTGCACCAATCCTGCAGGGGTAGGCTGAAGCCAGATCATGGGTTTTATTTAGTGGGCATTTGGAACCATAAGGAGAATACTCACACACACATAGACGTACATATATGTCTAAATATGTATATATATATATATATATATATATATATGTATATGTATATCAGAGGAAAGGATACCAGAATAGATTATTAGATTGGATGGTTATTATAACGGTCCTGGCAGAAATATGTGGTACAAAAATAATGAAAAGAAGTGGGGTTTTTTGGTTTGTTTTTTGGGTGCCAATCTATTTTTTTTTGGGTGTGTGTGTGTCAGTCATGGGTCCTGAACACTGGGCTTGGGTGCTGTCCCTCAGCTCTTCAGCTCAAGGCTAGCACTCTACCACTTGAGCCACAGCGCTCTTTCCAGTTTTCTGGCAGTTCATTGGAGATAAGAGTCTCACAGACATTTCCTGCCTGGGCTGGCTTTGAACTGCAGGATCTTCAGATCTCAGCCTCCTGAGTAGCTAGGATTACAGGTAATTGGTGCCAATCTTAAGGCTTGAATTCAGGGCTTGGACGCTGTCCCTGGGCTTTTTTGCTCAAGGCTAGAGCTCTGTCACTTGTGCCACAGCTCCACTTCCAGGTTTTGGTGGTTAATTGGAGGTAAGAGTCTCCTGGACTTTCTTGCCTGAGCTGGCTTCAAATTGCCTCCTGAGTAGCTAGGATTACAGGCATCAGGTACCACTGACGCCCTGTGGAAAGAAGCATTTTGAGGAAAGGAGAGGGAAAAGGGATGCTGAAAAAAGACATTGAGTATTTTCTGAGCCAGGAATTCTGAGAAATTGCAGAGCTTATCATTTAACTAGAAATCAAGAGCTCAGCAGCTGGGATGTAGTTCAGGGGCAGAGTGCTTGCCTAACGTGGAGGCCCTGGTTCAGTCTCAAGCACTATCCACCAACTGAAGAACACACATGGCTACTGAGAAACATTTACAATACACAGGCAAGAAAACTAAAAGCTAAGAGACACTGGCCCTTCCCCAGGAGTGTCAGTGTGAAGCTTGCCTGGCAGGGAAGTTACCTGATGGTTCTGTAGTTGACACATACTGTACATACACACTCAGACAGGTGAGAATTTGCAGGTCAGAAGTCATATGATCCCTGGAGATACCATCAGTCAGAGAACAGCAGAATGCTAAAGATGGGAGGGACGTTGAAGGTTCTTGGCACCATGCTCTTCCCTAACCTTCCAGTTTGCAAAAGAGGAAACTAAGGCACTTTCCAGTCACTGAAGAAAAGGAAAAAAGAGGGTAAGAGAGTTGCCCAAGATCAGGAAGCTAGTTTGGAGCAAAGGTTGTGGGACCAAAATTTAGAACTTCACAGCTTGGGAACCTGTGTGTCTTTTCACCTACTTCTTTCTCTAGCCTGGGAGAAGTGAGAGCCAGGGTTAGCAGAAGCAAACACTTCCTCAATGATACAGGAGCACAATGGCTGTGGTCTTTTTTTTCTGTAGCTTTGTTGTTGTTGTTGTTGTTGGTCGTGGGACCTGAACTCTGGGGCCTGGGTGCTGTCCCTCAGCTCTTCAGCTCAAGGCTAGCGCTCTACCACTAGAGCCACAGCGCCACTTCTGGCTTTTTTTTTTCTGCTTATGTGGTGCTGAGGAATCAAACCCAGGGCCTCAGGCATGCAAGGCAAGTGCTCTATCACTGAGCCACCTTCCCAGCCCCCCACTTCTGGTTTTCTGGTGATAAGAGTCTCACAGAGTTTCCTGCTTTGAATTGCAATCCTCAGATCTCAGCCTCTGAATAGCTAGGGTTATAGGCATGAGCCATTAGCACCTGGATTTTCTGTATTATTTTCTTTATCTTTTGTATGTTTTCTCTGAAAGATTATGTTGAAATATCATCTACAATGGTAAACACAGACAAGCTAAGGAAACAACAAACCACTTACATACTGGTAGATGCGCGTGTCAATAGCCTTGAATATACAGAACTTGTCTTGGGGAAAATGAAATGGGCTACTATGATCTTCATTTGTCTTTATCTACATCACATTGGTCTTCCTGAGCAGTCTTGCCCAATGGCCAGGTCTATTTCCTAGTCTAAGCAATGAGGATCTTACACAGTGATCACCAGGTCCCTTTTCCTGCCTTTCTCTCCTGCTCCAAAAATTCTCCATCTCAGGGCTGGGAAGGTGGCTCAGTGGTAGAGTGCTTGTCTTGAGCTGAAGAGCTGAGAGACAGCGCCCAGGCCCAGAGTTCAGGTCCCATGACCGGACCCCCAAAAAAAAAAATTCTCCATCTCCACTTAAAGCAGAACTGCAGTGTGACTGTGAAAGGGGAGGTTGAAAATGTAGACATGCACTTCATTCAGTAATACTTAAAACCTAGCTTCACTCATTCAACAACTATTTACCAAGTGCCAATTTGTGTCAGGCACTTTGGCATTTCCCTCACCACAGTAAGAAAAGATCCCTACTTTAAGAAACTTTAAGAGCTGGGCACCTGTGGCTCACACTTATAATCCTAGCTACTCAGGAGGTTGAGATTTTAGGATTATGGTTCAAAGCCAGCCCGGGCAGGAAAGTCTGTGAGACTCTTATCTCCAATAAAACACCAGGAAATGGGAAGTGGCACTGTGGCTCAGGTGGTAGAGAGCTCGCCTTGAGCTGAAGAGCTAAGGGACAGTGCCCAGGCCCAGAGTTCAAGCCCCACAACCAACCAAAAAAAAACAAAAAACCAAACAAATAAACAAAACTTTAAGAAACTACAATACTGCCAGGTGCTGATGGCTCATATCTGTAATCATAACTACTCAGGTGGCTGAGATCAAGAGGATTGAAGTTTGAGACAGCCAGGCAGAAAAGTCTTTGAGAGTCCATTTGAAAGAAAGGAAGGAAGGAAGGAAAGGATGAACAAAAGAAGGCCAAATGAACCCAGTCAAAAGCTGGCCTGAGGATGTAGCTCAAGCAAGCAAGCCAAACAATCTTGAGACCTGAATTCAAACTCCAAGAAAAAAAAATCCTCCCCCAACCAGAAACAAACAGCAACAACAAAAAATAACCCCTTCCCTAAAATCCCCAAACAACAACAACAAAACCACAGAGTGACCTTAGACAAGTATTTTTGCCTCTTTGATGTTTCCTCAACTGTAAAACGTGGCATACTAAATCTCCCTTCCTCAGGTTAGTGTGAAGACAGAAGTAAGGCATTGAAAAACATTGAGGCTGGAGGTGTAGCTCAGTGGTAGAGAGCTCAGTTAGTATGCATGAGGCCCTGTGTTGAATTTCCCAACACCAGGAAACAGAAAGAAAAAGGAAAGAAAGGAAGGGGGAGCCGGGCACCTTTAATCCTAGCTACTCAGGAGGCTGAGATCTGAGGATCGCAGTTCAAAGCCAGCCTGGGCAGGAAAGTCCATGAGACTCTTATCTCCAATAAATCACCAGAAAACCGGAAGAAGAAAACTGGCTCAAGTGGTAGCATGCTCTCCTTGAGCTGAAGAGCTGAGGGACAGCGCCCAGGCCCAGCATTCAGGCCCCATGACCAGTTTAAAAAAAAATAAAAAAGGAAGGGGGAAGGGGAGGGAGGAAAGAAAAAAAGCACATAGTAGAGGCTCAATAAAAGCTGTGGTGTGTTTGATCAGAGCATTTAGAAGCTCTAAAGTTGCTTCTGGGGATCCCTGTCATGTGGCTGATTTCCTTCCTGGAGCCAACCACAAAGCATTTTAGTTATTTACTTATTGACTCTAGTCTTGTCACGTACAGCAAGCCCCGAGGGCCAAGACAGAGCCCAGGTGGCACATGCTTATGAGGAGGGGTGGAGCGGCTGTGAGTATGACAGGAATCCACATTTCTTCACTCCTTCCTTTTATTGCATCTGTGGTCCGGATAAGGGGGGCAGAGTCAGAATGTATCCTCCACCCACCATTTCTCTCACCTGCTGGTTTCAAGCCTGTGTCCTGGGAACCCAGGCCCCTGTTCCCCATGTAAAATCCGGGCACCCTGCTATCTTCAGAATCTCCAGCTGAACTCTAGCTCAGCCACTGGACTTTGTCCTGCCTGTGCCCGGACAGCCGATGGCTAAGAATCCTCCTCCCCCCCACCTTCCTGGTTATTTGCTTATCATCTGTGGCAGGTGTGGAGAAGGAAGGGGTTGAGCAGAAGTCGGGCGGGGGGCAGGACTTGGAACATGCTGGGGGCTTAGGGAATCTTTGTGACTGTACACAGGACACCCTGGGATCAGCATAGTTTTCTGAACAGTCATTGTCACAGTGAACCCAGCCTCCCCTGGTCCCCCAGGGACCTGGGTGGCCCTGTAGCTGGGAGAGAGGACTATCAGAGTGAGGGTCTGGGCCCCTGCCTTGAACACCCAGATGCCTCATCTGATGACTTGAGGTTTCTCTCCTCTGAAAGCTGTGAGTGTGTGTGTGTGCGTGCGTGCGTGAATCCCCTTGCTCCCCATCCCGTCACCATGCTGGGGGGCTCAGGGTGGGTAAGGGTGACAGGAACAAGAGCTGGCGGGTCATGCCAGGCTTCAGCAGGAAGACAGCCTTGGATGATGGGAACGAAGTTGCTGGCCTAGCTGGCACTGGTCAGGATACCCTGAGCGCTTTGAACAGTCATTCTTTTTAGGTCTCCTGAGTCCCAGTCCCCCCACTTAGCAAAAGACAAAATAAAAGGGGGTGCAAGGGATGGGTGGGACCCATGTCCAGTCCCCTGGACGATGAGGGCCAGGACCCCTTCCTCCACCCCCAGGATGAGAACTGATGTCTGTGGATTGGTGGCAGGAGAGACAGAGGTCCCCTCAGTCTGTCGGAGCAGCACAGGATTCTGGAGTGTGATCGGAGGTGAACTTCCCATCCGCCTCCGTCTCCGTGACTGAAGACCTGGCGGCTTCTTCTTTCCCTTGGAGGTCGCGGTCCCACAGGAACTTCCTCCAGCGGGCCAGGCGATGGTGGGCGGAGGAGCGGATCTCCCCGCTGCGCAGGCCGTAGATGACGGGATTGACCATGGAGTTGACCAGGCACAGCATGCAGCAGAAGGCGAAGGCCTCTTTGACCTGGCGGCTCAGCGGCGTGGCCAGGCTGTACACCATGAGGCTCAAGGCAGGCAGCCAGCAGAGGAGCAGCACAGCCAGCACCAGCCCCAGGGTCCTCGCCAACCTCACATCCAGCCTCATCCGGACCATTCCTGCCACCTGGCTCTCTTGGTGCTCTGCCAACCTGACTGCGTGCTGGTGGGCCTTCCAAAGGACGCGCCCATAGATGTAGATGATGCCGGCGAAGAGGAGGGCGATGAAGAGGAGCCAGCCCAGAAGGTAATCATTGGGGATCAGTGGGAAAAGCTCCGAGCAGGGCTTGGGGCAGCAAGTCCACCCCATGAGAGGCAGGTAGGAGATGAACGCCGAGACGACCCACATGACACCTAAGGCCACCAGCGCCCTCCCCCGGGTGAGGAGAGTTTTGTAAGCGGGTGGGTAGAGCAGACAGAGGTAGCGGTCAGCTGCGGTCAGCAGCAGGCTGCCCACAGAGGCTGTGAAGGTCAAGGTCACACTGCCGATCTTGAGCAGGAACCCAGTCATGGTGTCCCTGCCATGGAAGACGTGGAAAATGACGAAGTTGTAGGCGAAGACCACGCTGGCCAGGAGGTCAGCCCCGGCCAAGCTGCCGATGAAGAGGTAGGAGGGCTTCCTGCAGAGCCGGCGCGAGGACACGATGAGGTAGAGCACGGCCAGGTTCTCCAGGGCGCTCAGCAGGCCCAGCAGCAGGCAGAGCACCCCGACCACGGCCGCCTGGGAAGGGCTGAGGATCATGTAATCCTGCATCGGGTTGAACTCCAAGCCCCCCTCGGAGCTGTTGACCGGCCTCAAACCCCAGCATGCCTCCATGGGCTGGGCCTGCAGGGCTTGGCTGCAGACAAGGACAAGAAGTTCTTTCAGTTGGAGCAGGAGTGGACAGACACCTGACTATTGACACCAAGCAAAGGTTTACCTGTGTGGATAAGTCACCTGTGGGGGGGAAAACCCAATTTATTTTAGTTGATTCGTTTGTTTCTGTTGGTGGTAGAGCTTGAACTCTGGGCCTGCGCACTGTCCCTCAGCTCTTCAGCTCAGGGCTAGCCCTCTACTGCTTGAGCCACAGCACCACTTCTGGTTTTCTGGTGGTTTATTGGAGATGAGAGTCTCACGGACTTTCCTGCCCAGGCTGGCTTTGAACCGAGATCCTCTGATCTCAGCCTCCTGAGTAGCTAGGATTACAGGCGTGAGCCACCGGCACCCGGCTAATTTATCTGTTTCTGTGCTGAGACTAGGGCTTGAACTCAGGTCCTAAGGGCACTGGCCCTTAGCTTGTTTCATGCAAAGCGGGCACTCTACTACGTTTTGGCTTTTGAGTGGTTCATTGGAGATGGGAGTCTTGCAGGCTCCTTGTTTTCTGCTCTGGCTGGCTTTGAACAGTGACCCTCAGGTCTCAGACTCCTCAGTAGCTAGGATTATAGGCCTGAGCCACCAGTTGCTGGCTGAAAAAAAATCAATTTATATTGTATTGTCCTGGGTTTTTACCTTTTCTCCAATCAGGGTGCCAGGGCTAAGGGAATGCAACCAGATTTTTTTTTTTTGGGGGGGGGGAAGGTTCTTGACAGGTAGCCTAGGTTGGCCTTGAATCGTGACCTTCCTGTCTCAGGAGGGCTGGTTTTGTAGGCATGCACTGTAATGCCTGGCTAACCTGTCAGCTTTCTGGCATTTTGCTTACCCAATGACTAATCTTTAAGTCTTCCTTTTGAAAGCTAGGGAAATGCCCAAGAAACAACAACAACAACAAAAGAGAAAAACAAAACCAAGAGAAAAGGGAATCTGGTTTATTTTATTGCTTTTTAAAGATCCAATAATGAGGATTAAATTTAGGGCAAGCAGTTGAGCCATGCCTTAGTCCTTTTTAGTTTGTTTTTCTTTTGTCTTTTTTCCCCATCCTGGGCACTGTTCCTGAGCTTCCTTTGCTCACAGCTAGAGCACTCTACCACTTGAGCCACAGCACCACTTCTGGCTTTTTCTATTTATGTGGTGCTGAGGAATCGAACCTAGGGCTTCATGCATGTGAGGCAAGCACTCTACCACTGAGCCACCTTCCCAGCCCATTTGTTTTTCAAGTAGAATTTCCTGCTTTTGCCAGAGCAGGCCTTGGACATGGCTCCTCTTATTACTACTAGGAAGAGAGGAGACCGTACCTGAGATTACAAGTGTGTGCCACTATGCCAGGCCCCCGGGTGATGAAGTTTTATAACTATCTGGGGGTGAGGGATCACACTTTATCTTTACATAAAGTGGGAGAAGATGAAGTCTAGAAGATAAAATAGTCCAGATAAGATAGAGACGTCTATTCTTGGCCTCATCTCGTGTCTGGCTTGCTGCAATTGCTTGTTCAGGGGTTCCTGGCTTTTCACTAGACCTGTTGCTACCCTATTTTAACATAGCAGCTAGGGTGAGCTGTTCACAACATGTCACTCCTCTGTTTCAAATGATGGTAGCTTCTCATTCACAGAAAGAAAATAAAAGCCCTCACAGTGATCTATAAGTGCCTTTCTGAACTCCCATCTACCATGGTTCATTTAGTCACTCAGCTTCAGGCAGTTTGTTTTGTTTTGTTTTGTTTTTTGTTTTGTCAGTCATGGGGCCTGAACTCTGGGCCTGGACGCTGTTCGTCAGCATTTCAGCTCAAGTCTCTTGCTCTACCACTTGAGCCACAGCACCACTTCCTCAGGCAGTTTTTTTTTTTGTTGGTCATGGGGCTTGAACTCTGGGCCTGGATGCTGTCCCTGAGCTTTTCAGCTCAAGGCAAGCATTCTACCCCTTGAGCCACAGCACCACTTTTGGTTTTCTGGGGGCTAATTGGAGATAAGAATCTCATGGACTTTCCTGCCAGGGCTGGTTTTGAACCACGATTCTCAGATCTCAGCCTCCTGGGTAGGTAGGATTCCAGGTGTGAGCCAAGGGCACCCAGCTATGCAGTCTTTCTGCATTACCTCAGGGCCTTTGCACTGGCCATTCCCTCTGCCTGGAACACCCTTTCTCTCGCTTTCCCATCTTGGCTCAGGTTTTACGCTGACTACCCTGCAACTTACCTCAGCCTCCAGTTTTCTCAGCTTCATTCACACCAACTCACTCCTCATTTTTTCCTATCATCTATCGTCTTCTAGCATATACTTTATCCTATAAAACTTACCTAGTTTATTGTCTTGTACATTGCATTTTCCATTAGAATAGAAGCACTACAGATCATGATTTGAAGCCAACTTGGGCAGAAAAGTCTGCGAGGCTTCATCTTCAGTTAACCAGAAAGGTGCTAGACTGGAAGTGTGGCCCAAGTGGTAGAGCACCACGTGTAAGCAAGAAAGTGGAATAAGAGCTCGAGTCCCTGGGCTCAAGTGCCCAGGGACTCAATATAAGCTTCATGCAGTCAGGGACTTTGATGGATTTGTTCACTGAGACAACATAAGGGCTTAGAATAGGTTCTGGCGAGCTGGGCGCTGGTGGCTCACGCCTGTAATCCTAGCTACCCAGGAGGCTGAGATCTGAGGATTGTAGTTCAAAGCCCAGGCAGGAAAGTCTGTGAGACTCTTATCTCCAATTAACCCCCAGAAAACTGGAAGTGGCACTGTGGCTCAAGTGATAGAGCGCTAGCCTTCAGCTGAAGAGCTCAGGGACAGCGCCCAGACCCAGAGTTCAGGCCCCATGACTGACAAAAAAAAAAAAAGAATACTTTCTGTTACATATTAAATACTCAATAAATACTTGTGTAGTCAAGTCTAATTAGAATTGCATAGTGAGCAATTCTAGCATTCTCTTGTTGGAACTTGATAAACATAGTAGATAACACTTTTTCCACAAATGATTTTTTTAAAAGTAGAGTCTCTCTTTGTAGCCCAGGCTGGCCTTGGGATTCTCTTGCCTCTTCCTGAGTACTGGAATTGCAGGTGTGTCACCATGCCTGGCATCAGATAGCATATTAATTAATAAGGATGGACTATGTCTGAGTGTACAATGGATGGGCTTGCTTGTAGTCATGTTTAGTGCCCGGCACCAGAAAACTGGGGAACACACATTTGAAGCCAATGCAGACACTCACCAAAATAGACTGAATCCTAGATGAGATGTAAATTGATGGCACTGAGACTTGAACTCAGGGCTTCATGCTCTTGCAAGGCCACAGTTCTACATCTAGCTTTTGGATGGTTTATTGGACAGACAAATCTCACAGAGTTTCCTGCCTGGTCTGGCTACAGATACAAGCCAATAGTGCTAGGCAAGAACTTTAAAAATATATGACTAGTAAATTTCATAGGGATGAAACCTTAAAAACATACCATCAATGAAGTTATAAAATATGTGCAGCTGAATGGTACGAAATTGCAATGCATTATAATTTGTGAGTTGAGCCTGGCGCTGGTGCCTTACACCTGTAATCCTACTCAGGAGGCTGAGATCTGAGGATTGAGGTTTGAAGCCAGCCTGGACAGAAAAGTCCTTGTGAGACTCTTTTTTGTGTGTGTGCATGCCAGTCATGGGGCCTGAACTCTGGGCCTGGGCGCTGTCCCTCAGCTCTTCAGCTCAAGGCTAGCGCTCTACCACTTGAGCCACAGCACCAGCCTTTTCTGCTTATGTGGTGCTGAGGAGTCGAACCCAGGGCCTCATGCATGCAAGGCAAGCACTCTACCACTGAGCCACCTTCCCAGCCCGAGATTCTTTTTTTTTAAATTAATTTTTATTTATTTTATCTTATTTTATTTTTGTTAATGTGGTAGCAAGGAATGGAAAACAGGGCCTCATGCATGCTCCGCAAGCACTCTACCACTAAGCCACATTCCTAGCCCCCGTGAGACTCTTATCTCCAATTAATCACTCAAAAACCAGAAGTTCTGCCTTCTGCCTTTGCCACACCATCTTGTCTCCTGCAGTACCAAAGTCTGAAATCAGGGCCTCATACTTGTTTGTCTGGTTCTCTACAACTTGAGCCATGCCTACAGCCCAGCTTTTTGCTGGTTATTTTAGAGATGGAATCTCCAGGACTTTTCTGCCCAGGCTGGCCTCAAACTGCAATCCTCCATATCTTGAAGAGTCTGGATTACAAGTGTGAGTCACTGATGCTTGGCTCGCCTCCTTTTTGACCTTCCTTTGGACTCTTCTGCCCAGGGAAGCCTCTCACAGGCCCCAAGTTACCAGCAACAACCCCCGCCATGCCAGTCCTCCCCTCCCGCCATCAGCAGCCACCATGACCTCTACTGTGTACAAAGTAAAATCCTACTAAACACTGTTCTGGCATGATCTCATTCTATTTGCACAGCTCTTCGACAGAAGACTTATGGTTGAGGCTGGGGAGTTCATACAGTGTAACCCACAGGCTCTGAAGAGCAGAAAGAAAACCTCTGTTCATGCCCGATTTCATCAGGTCAGCATGGAGCAGGCAAAGCAGCGGCGAGCTCACTGGTCAGGAGCGCTACGGAAGCAGAAAAGGGACAGTTCTCTGAGCTGGGTTCCACTCCTCCACTCCCCCCCCCCCCAAGTTGTGAGTAGGGACTGAAGGAGACAAGCCCAGCCCTAACCCTAGTGGTCACCCGTGAGTGACAGCCAGTGTGTTTCTCTGTTCCCACAGCCACTCCTGGGAGCTTCTTCCCCTGAGCCCCTTCTGCTCCCAACAAGGGTCCCTGGGAAGACTGATATTCCCTGAAGTAGGAGTGGCTTGCCCTGTGCAGAGTCAGAATAGAGGATGGTGTCTTGGGTGACAGTACTGGCATCGGTGCCCCACACAGGCCTGGTCGGGCCTACAACACCCAGTTACTATGCAAAGTAGGGAAGGACAGGAAACGCAGCTGTGGGAATGGGGCATCCCACAGCATCGGGGTGCAGGGGGTGACAGAGAAGCCGGCTCTGTGTTGGTCCACAGAGAACAGTGGCCATAGGAATTGGAGCATTAGGCTTTTAGAAGAGCCAGAGGGAGGCCTGGGCCTGACATCTAG